AGATGTGCCTGGTATATGTCACTTAGCATTGCTACATGTTTATGCAGGTTGGGTACTATATAGCCCCAGAGAGACACCAGGTAAATAGCTCCCCCTAGGGTTGTGCAGTTCACAGCCTGCAGACAGCTTGCTAATTTCAATGCACTGGTTTTCACAGGTGATTCACCATGTTCATCCCCAGGACTGAGTGAGCGGGTCTGGTTAACTGCGTGTGCGGGCTCTCTCTTCCTCACTTCTTCCTCATTCCCCACCTCCCCCTACAAGCTGATGCTCTGGGCAAAGATGTTGCCCTTCCCAGAGAGTGCCCTCCAGTCAAGGGGGTGCTTCCAACTCTGCCTGAGCTCTGCCTCAAACTCCAAGCGCCTCCTGTGATCCTGGAGCAACGAGTCGCTCGAGACCAGAACTGAATGTTCTTCCCCTTTTTCTAATGAGGCCCTTTTGCAAACATACCTGGCTCTCTTCTGACCCCACTTTTTAAGGTTTGCCTTTTAAATGCCAAGATTCGCCTTAGCTAAGCTGACAATGTCACGAATTCAAATACATTTCCCTTTACTAGCCTCCAAAAAGGCGTCAGCTGGGTCCTTCGTGTTCCAAAGGCCAATTTTAAACATCCTAGCTTTACGGGCCCAACCTTTGTATTCTAAAATTAAGGAACCATCATTTCAGTTATGGAAAAATAATTATAAAAAGAAAAGAAAAACACGGCCCTCATTCACCTGACTTGTGCATACTCACTGCATGTAACGCAGTCCTATTTCTTCCTGTTGAAGCAACAGGGGCCCTGGTATTTCTGATACAAAGTAGAAGACCATGGTCTTGAGAAAACAGGGGTGGACACTAACAAACGTGAGTCACCAGCAGGAGCAAAATACCTGCCATGATAGTCTATTTCCAAATTAGGTGAACTTGTAATCAAACCTGACTTAGCCAACAACTAAAAGTGTGACCCTGGCCCAGTCCGGTTCCCACCTTAAGCTTTAGTTTCCTTATCTGAACCAATGCCAACAGTATAGGGTTGATGGGGGATTGATTAACTGAGCTAATGAATGGAATGTATTAAGTTCCCGATATGTGGTAGGTCTTTCATACCTCATCTCCACCCTTTCATTCATTCGTTATTTCAAGTACCTACCTACTACCGGCATAATACTAGGGTATCGCCTTATGAGAATCAAAGAAATGTAATAGCTTTGTTCCTTCATGGAGCTTATAATATATTCATTCATTCAATAAACGAGTACTGAGCGTCCACCTTGTGCCAGACGACCTGGTAGGTGTTGGAGTTACAAACATGAATAAAATAAGCCAAGGCCCCAGCCTTCCAGGAGCTCACATTCCAGTGGAGAAGATAAGACATGTAAATACATGCTACCACTTCAGAGTAAGCAAGCATTGCTTGATCTTTTTTCAAAGACTCCTCTTTACATAATTGTCCCCTATTCTGGGAACAACATCAGATACATCTGCCAATTATCTCATCTCTAGCATGTGAAAAGTCTCTCATTCTAGGCCCCCAGGAGCAGTGAAGAAACGACCACCTCTTCTTCCCTGGACCTCCTGCCTCTTACTCTGCTCAGGACCGCATGCTATTGCCAGAGCCTTCTTCCATAGCATGAGTGTGACATGGAATTCCAGGTGCATTTTAGAGCAGTCCAAGATTTATGGAGAACTTGTAACTTGCCAGAAAATCTTAAGTTCGGAGTTATAAGCAAGGTTAAGTCTGCTCCTAACAACTTTATGAAATAGGCAGGGTACCCACGCAGCCAATTCAATGGCTGGTTGTTCAGTAGTGTTGCGGTTCTGAGGAAGGTGCTGGAAATGCAAAGTGGAGGCAGCATGATTCCCGCCATTAAAGAGTTTTACAGTCTGACAGAGAAGGCAAATAAATCAAACTTCAACAGAATGGGTAATAAGTGCTGTGTTGGACCATAAGATGTTAGAATCGGGGCAGCTAATCTATACATGGATGTTCAGAGCAGCTTTCTGTAGGTGACATGCGTATAAATCACAGAGCACAAAGTCTTCGAGGAACAGTGCCCCAAGCAAGGTGTACCCGTTAATAATGCGGATTTTTTTCAATAGACGGAGTTACACATATGTGGATATATATGCGATTTGATATGTATGCTATTTTGTTGTATTGACAGCAAGCTTCAAAACTTCACGTGTCATATTTTCTGAAGGTGTTAACATCATAGATATTTTTATGCTTAAAACTGTCGAATTTCGTGCCAAAAAAAGAGCATATGTGGGAAGTTTTAATTCATTACTTTATTTTGAAGAAAAGTGCTTCTGAAAGTTGTTGTATACTTCGGGAAGCTTATGGTGAACATGCTCCATCTCAAGATACTTGTGAATGCTGGTTTAAACGCTTTAAAAGTGATGATTTCAATGTGAAAGACAAAGAACGGCCCTGACTGGTTTGGCTCGGTGGATAGAGAGTCGGCCTGCGGACTGAAGGGTCCCAGGTTCGATTCCGGTCGGAGGCATGTACCTTGGTTGCGGGCACATCCCCAGTGTGGGGTGTGCAGGAGGCAGCTGATCGATGTTTCTCATCAATGTTTCTAACTCTCTATCCCTCTCCCTTCCTCTCTGTAAAAATCAATAAAATATATTTAAAAAACAAAAAAGACAAAGAACGTCCAGGTCAACCGAAAAAGTTTGAAGACCAACAATGACAAACATTATTGGATGAAGATGCGTGTCAAACTCAAAAACAACTTGCAGAAAGATTAAACGTTGCTCAGCAAACAATTTCTGATCGTTTACAATAGGAAAGATTTATAGGAAGGAAAATGGGTGCCACATCAACTGAACGAAAGACAAATGGAAAACCGAAATCATCAGTCAAATGTTGCTTCAACAGCACGAAAGAAAGTCTTTTTTGCATTGAATTGTGACTGGTGATGAAAAGTGGATTTATTATGAGAATTCCAAATGCACAAAATCATGGGTTGATCCAGGTCAACCATCAACATCGACTGCAAGGCCAAATCGCTTCGGAAAGAAGACAATGCTCTGCGTTTGGTGGGATCAGGAAGGCGTGGTGTGTTATGAGCTTCTAAAACCAGGTGAAACCATTAATACTGATCGCTACTGACAACAAATAATCGATTTGAACCACGCTTTGTTTGTAAAACGACCAAAATGGGCCAGAAGACATGGCAAAGTAATTTTGCTTCATGCTAACGCACCAACACACACTTCAAAGCCAGTTAAAGACACGTTAAAAGAACTTGCCTGGGAAGTATGAACCCACCCGCCGTATTCACCAGACCTTGCTCCTTCAGATGACCACTTGTTCTGATCGATGGCACACTTGCTGTCTGAGCAGCACTTCAAAATGTACAAAGAGGTGGAAAACTGGGTCTCTGAATGGTTTGCCTCAAAATGAGAAAAGTTCTATTGGGACGGTATCCACAAATTACCTGAAAGATGGGGGAAATGTGTAGCTAGCGATGGACATTACTTTGAATAAAGAGCTTGATGTTTCTCTTGAAATTATCGTGTTTTCTTTGATTACAAAACCCACCATTATTAACCGGTACACCTAGTATAGACCAAAGCACGGGAAAAGGGACTATTTCACTGCAGCTGAGTAGATCCAGCAAGACTTTTTGGAAGAGATTACATTTTAGCTGAAACTTGGATCAAGTCAATGAATTCATGGAAAGAACCCGGGAAACAGAAGGGCATGTGTGAGGAATGGGTGGGGTCCTTGACCTGCATCAGGTTTAGATTCGGGGCCACAAGACAGGGAGGGAGACAGACATATTAACACAAATCTAGAGTGAAGCAGCGCCACCGCACTGGAGAACTGCTGGGAGGAGTGATGGGCAGCTAAGTTCGAAGAGCTGAGCACCAGTCTGAGGAATGACTCGGTCACCAGGGCACCTGCATCCTACCGTGGCTGCACAGCCTTGAGGTCTGGAAAGACATTCCTGCCTGCTCAGTGGACACGGCATGTAGGCCGTGACTATAGGGTTAAGCCTCGGACTGCCTGTTGGCAAAGTCACAAACAAGTCCCAGCGTAGAGGGCACAGTCCTCTTAGCATAATTAGGCTTGACCTTATGAGGCTCCTTAGATCTTATCTGGGAAGCTAATGGGCTGAGGGAGGTGCAGCAAGTGCTGCCAAAACAAGTGAAATTCACAAGAACAGTATAACTATGGTAACCACTACCTTGTTTACCTCGGACTATAAAATAAAGGCTCAGCTTGCCTCCGTGTCCCTGGACCCCAGCAATGGCATCCACCTAGGTTCACTGATTTAATCTCTCCCCACTAGCTAGATATTTGCACATTCTTGTCCCTGTGTTTAAACGTTAACCAAAACTTTAGAGCAAACTTCCACCCTACGGGAACTTTGGAAAAGCGCCATCTGTTCCTTGTTCAGATGCCAATGAAGAAAGAAGCCAATCAACTGCCTTTGGGGAGTTGCCCCAGGGCTGCCCGGCTCTGAGGGACCTATCCAAACTTCTGCAGGAATGGGGGGGGGGGGGGGGCTGAAAAAGATGCGCAGGGAGCAAAGGGAGCTCGGAGGGCTCCTGGGTTTCCCTTCTCCAGAGGCAGGGCCAGGTGAGACAGTACCGAGCTGGAAGCCTGGGTCTCGGCCCACCACCTGACAGTGACCGAGTCATTCATTTAACCTGTGCAATCTCTCTGCGCCCTGTGTCCCCACTGGTGGAGTAAGGAGGCTGTGGGCTCCACATAGGGTCTACCCGGTGCCAGTGAGGCGTTTTCCACCTTCTCTTTCAATCTTACCAAGCTCCGTGGCAGATTTTACTGGGCCCCTTCTACTCAAGACTTGGAGTTCAGAGTGTTTCACTAACATGTCCAAGGTCACGCGGCCGCAGGGCCGGGCCACAGGGCAATACGAGGTTGACTGCCGCGGCCCTGGTTGGACAACGGTAAACCTCCCCTACACTGGGGACCCGGGTTCCCATCCCTCAACTACCCCACCGCCCCCTCCTCCTTCTCCCTACGCTCCCGGGCAACGCACCCTCTCGCCACCAGCGCTCGGCCGCAGAGGAAAGGCTCTCATTCTACCTCGGGACATTTCTCACGCAGCTCTCCCGCCGACCTGCCCCGCCCACGGCGCCCTCGCACAGGATTGGTCCAACTCAGGGAAGCGACCAGGAGGCCCCGGTGACCTACACCCCAATCCCCCGCCAGCGCTCTGGGCGCACGCGCTCCAAGCGTGCGTGCGTGCGTACGTACGTGCGTGCGTGTGAGTGAGCACGTGAGGTCCCGGAACGTGCACAGGGGGCGGGGGGGGGGGGCAGGAAATGGGGATCGAGGGGCGGGGCTGCCGTTGCCATGACAGTGACGTCAGGCGTCGGGGAGCGAACCCGGCCCCTTCCGCGCGCGCGCGCACGCGCACACGCGCGCACACACGGGCTTGCACACACACGCGCGCGCATCGCCGCTCTCCTCAGACACACTGGAGGGAAAGGTCAAACTAAAGGCGAGGGAATGGGGAGGCCGGAGGAGCCGCCGCCGCCGCGCGCCATGACGGACACGGTCGAGGCGGCTTTCTCTCCGCGGACGCCGCCGAGCCGTTGCTCTCGTCGCGCCCCCTGCCCCCGCCCCCCCTCGTGTCCGTTCTTCCCCGCGCCCCCTCCCCCCTGGCGCTCGCGCGGCCACGTGCGCCCTCCACCCCCCGGCGCCTCGGGCGCGCGTCGGGCCTGGGGCGCGCGCTGGCGGGGAGCGGGTGTCGGAGGGTGGGGGCCGCGGCGGCCGGGCTGGCGGCCTGCTCGCGCGACCCCCGACCCCCGCGGCCGGAGCCCGCCAGGTGAGTGCGGTTGGTGGGGAGAGGTTGTCAGGGAGGACGGGGCACCGGGCGAGCTCAGCCCCCTGGCTGACCCCTTCCGGGGGCGCTGACAGGCGCTCGGGACCCGGCCTCTGGGGGGCGTCGCGGGGTCAGCCGGTCGCGGGGCCTCTTCGGCGCCTCTGCCGCTCGAGGTCGGGCCCCAGAGCGGAGGGGGCTGGGGGCAGGGGGCGTGCAGCCCCCGGGCAGGAGTTGGCCGGGCGGCTGGGGCGTGGGCACCGCGACGGGAGCAGGTGGGCCGCTCTCTGGGGCGCGGGGAGGGCGGGACGGGGCGAGGGCCGGCCAGGTGCGCGCGGGGCAGTTGGGAGAAACTCTGCCCTTGGGACGAGGCGCCTTCTACGGCCCCCGCCAGCTCGGGGGGCGGATTTCAGCAAAAACTCGGGGGGGAGCGGGCAGCACCGGGTGGACGCGAGCGGGACCGGGACCGGGTGGACCCGTCTGGGTGGGAAGCAGCCCGGAGCGACTCCGAGTGCGGGGAGCACCCGGTCCCGGTGTGTGGACGTTGCCATGCCAGTGCTCGGTGTTTGTTGCTTCTGGTTATTTTAGGACCAAAGGATAAGAAAGTTACTTGGGAGAGAGGGAGCTGCTTGGATGGCCGCGAGCCCTTCCCTGTTTATGCAGGAAGCGGGTTAATCTTTCACACACACACACACACACACACACGCACGCACGCACGCACCAGCTGAATCTGTGCCAGGTGGACTTTCAAAATCCTCAGTGCGAACTCTGCAGCCCCGAGACAAGGTGATGTTTGTCTCGTGGGTTTCAGGTGTCGGCTCGGCGCCCCGCGGGGGGACTGGGAGGACAGGACGCCCAGGCACTTGATCGGCTGCGGCCCGTTCGCAGGGAGCGCTGGAGCCCAGCAAAGCCGAGTCGAGTCGGAGCGGCCGGGGTTCAGCCACCGCCCTGACCCGGTGCCACCCGCCCGTCGGGAGCGGCCCTGGAGGGGCTGGGAGGCCCGCTCGCTGCCCGGTCCTCGGCCCACCGAAGACCCGGTGCCCGGGCCCAGGTTCCCCTCCTGGCTTCCCCGCTGTTAGCAGGCGCGCGACCCGTTTTCCAGACGTTAGGCTGAACTGTGTCCATCGCGAAACTGCTCTCCGTGGAGTCGCTTCGAAATGAGCAAGCGCTGGCTCTGACTTGTTTTTTTTTTTTTTCCCCATACTTGGAAGTTATTGGGAAATTTCAAAATAGAGTGCTTTCACATCGAGAAGGTTTTTGGAGTCTAGCTTAACCAGGTTACACCAAGTGGGTAAACGTGTTTACACTTTAGAGCTCACCCAAGAGAATGCCTGGTTTGTGAAAAGGCGCGAGATGGTGATGGCAGAGGAAATGCCCGAGGGGGTCTTTGGTGAAGAAGAGATCAGCCAGGACCCTCCCCCGGGAATTTAACGTTAACTGGTGGGTTCGGCCTGCGCAGGCCCCTTCCTTCACCTAAGCCTGTCGCATATGTGGGTACTCCCCCTGGTTAAGGATCTTTGGTTATTTGTCCTCTTCGAAAAGTTCTGCCAGGAGAGGAAGAGCCTTCATTTGGAAATTGAGTCCTTGTGGCCCGTCGCCAGGATGCGGAAGGCGCTCAGTCCCAGGTGTGAGCGAGCCTTGTTCAGCCTGGGGTCTCCTTCATTCTGTCTGGGCAGCGATTTCTGTACCTGGTTCTGTGAAGTGATGCCCCTTTGAGATCTTGTCCTATTGGCCATTTCTGACATATGTCTACGTAAAATCCTGTGGTTGGGGTACTTGAATGTTAAAGCCTAAGACATCGTTTTCTGTGAGATGTGAATAAATGTTATTTTTGTTTCTCCCTTCTCTGTTTTTAAGGGGAACCCTAGAATTGGGCAGATCAGCACGTACTCAGCATATCCCCTCCTGTAGGTCTCCTTGACCTTGGTGGCATCATGGAGGTCAGTGTTCATGGAGACAAACAGGTTTTGGTTTCCTTCAGGTGATCGACATATGGGAAAGCGACCTGAGACATGCATATCTTGATATATTTTAAAATAATTTTTATTGGGCATGTATCGTGATCATTACCAAAAAGAATTCATTGACCTCTTTTGGGGAATACATTTACATCTCTACTTTACATTAAAAAAGTCACTCCATTTCTTTTTTCAGGTTTTCTAGTATTGCTTGTACATGCTACCACAGATAGACAGCTGATTTTGGGGGTTACATTTTTAGAACTTGGGAAATGGGGAGAAGGCAGTAATGCTGGGATGAAGTTGGCCTATGAAAACAGCTGTGCTCACTTTAAGAAATTTGATATTTACAAATATAAGATTACACAACAAATTAAATAGTGGTTAGTTATGTTATTATATGAGAAGTCCATATTTTACAAAAAAGGGCTGACTAAAAGGTGCCATCAAATAATTAACGCTTTTTTAATGCTACTTATAAAATGTGTTTTGTTTTATGAAAAATCAGTTGGCATACAACAATTTAGCAACAGATTTTTGGCATAATGCAAGATTTATCAGTGCACTCCTTGAATTGGCTCTTTCCCAAAAATGTTTGGGGATAAAATTAGTGTTTATGGGCTTCTTAAATGCAAAGTTGTGCTACTTATGTGCTCCTTATGAATGTTTTACCCGAATGGGAAAATTGCCATGTGATCTGTGCTTTACCATTTAGGGAACACATTGAACCCTAATTCACATGCCAGAATTTTATGGTCAGGTTTGTCTGGAACCCCGTCCAAGGTAGTGTAGTTCCTGAGGTATCAGAAGCACCTCGTTTCAAGATGCTCACTAGGACGGTGGTCCTGCAGCACAGCCCAAGTGGCTACGGCACATTCAAAATGAATAGATTTGGTCTAAAGTCCACATGTAGAGAAGACCATTACCTTGAATTTTTCTCTAGGTGCAAATTATTCTCCAGAATTAAAGGCTCGATTTTCCTAAGGTGCAGTTCTATTGAGTCACTTGTGAAAAATTCTATTTTGATAAAAGAACAACTACATACTCTTTAAACTTTCAAGGGAGTTTTTTTTTCTTTTTGTTAGTGCAGTCGGGTTTATCTGGAATCACAGGAGATACTGAATGATGTTCTTGGGGAGCTTCATTCTGAAATCTCTGCTTTGGTGATATGACAGAAAACTAAGTGTGAAAATACGAGTAAAACTTGTTTATGGGTTAGCTCAAACTTTGTGGGATCAGGGAAAGAGGGAAGAACTAGACACAAACTTTATTAAGAATAATTAATCAAATTTACTTTTCTTTATACTGTTCATGCTTTGCTTTCTTAGAGTGACACCTCTTCCCACTTTTAGAGAAGGGATTTATAGGATAAGAGCTAAGCGTGCAGGTATATTAGTGTGCGGGTATCTTTTGAGAGCTTTTTAATCGTTTTTGTTTTGTTTCATTCGTTAGACAGAAAATAATTTTTTTCATGTTGACTATGGGTTGAAAGCCCAAATTTAGGTTAATGGGTACAGTTTTATTCCTCTTAGCATAATTGAATATTATAAAAATGTAGGGAACAGTTTGAATGATGCCACTGATTTTTTAGTACAGGCTCTTAGTTCCTCTATTGGACAAATGAATAAAAATGAAGATGGAAAATGTGATATTAAAAGAAGTATTTTTTTAAAAACCCCAAGGGACTATCTCAAAGGATTGCTAACTTTAGAGCATGGCAAGGTAAATAAGTTCATTACTGGGACTTATCATTAATGAGGATATGTTATTGTAAAAATTTTCAAGTACGTGCAAAAAAAAAAGTAGACTGCATTTAAAAAATATTAGTGCTAAAATCTGTGAGAAAAGAGGTAATGATTTAGAAATTTTAATTAGAATTTAAGGCTGATTTATGTTCTCAATTTCATTATTTAACCCAGTGTCACTTTTTAAATGTCACTTAATTTTTCTATTCCCAATTTTTTCTGTAAATGTAGTCAGCAGTGCAACATGCTTTATGTAAATTGGGTTTTGAAGTAATATTTGCTAGACTTATTAAGCATAAAATATTACCTAGTACTAATATGTATGTGTAAATCCACCAAGTGGGATTTTAAAATGTTTAGACCTTGTAATCTGCAGAAATTTGGGCAAAAGTTCTAAAAATAAGAAAGGTTGAGTACAGAATTTTAGTCACAGATGACACTGTAAATTGCATTTCGCTCATTGTTCTGAAAGGGTTTTCTTTCACTGTTACATACTTATCTTTTCCATATTCCAGCCATGCTAGTTTTTAGTGTTGGGTCATCTTATTTGTAGCATCAGTAGAACATTCAGAATGGTAGAAACTCCTCTTTGTTTTTCCCCAACTGTCTCATCTGGGAGATTGTTTGAATTTCAGTTATTGAGTGTGATTTAATTAGAAATATTTTAAATAGAAAGGTTATTGCAACTTTCACAAGCTAGAGGAAAATATAAATTTATCTTAAATTTATGAACATTTTTGTATATGTGGACAATTAGACACAGTGTGTATAATTTAAAAATCCTATCAGCATTTGTTTTAAGTTAACTTTATTTGACGTGTTGTTAAAATCAACACAGTAATTGTATAGTCTCTTAAAAAATATCTATTCATGGAATATATTTCCGAAACTCGCCCTTACCATAGAGCAGCGGTCGCCAATCTTTCGGTCCGTGGACCACCAGTAGGTGACCGCTGCTCCAAAGGTTTCCTTAAACCAGTGGTGAACAACCTTTCGGGCCTCACGAGCCACCCGTTGGCGACCGCTGCCTTAGAGTATGCCCAGAAATGATCCACTGGATGCTAAGTTTTGGACTGAATTTATGATATCACATGGGATGGTATTTTCCTAACGGTGTTTTTATTGTTTCTTTTAAAGTAACATTTCTTAAACATGTTTATACGTGAATATATTGTACATATTGATCAAATGATGTACTGAAGGATTAAATTTATATCCTCTGTTTCTCTCCCCTCTTCCTCCTTTCAATAATTGTCAGTAGTTGGCCTTCAGCCACATGTTGTAAGAGAACTTTTAATACATG